AGGGACAGTGCCCAGGCCCCACAACTGACAGAGAGAGAGAGAGAGAGAGAGAGAGAGAGAGAGAGAGTGTTACTTATGGACTTTCCTGACCAAGCTGGCTTCAAACCATGATCCTCAAATCTCAGCCTCCCAATTAGCTAGGATTACAGGCCTAAGCCACAGCCCCTGGCTGAGGAGTGTATTTTTTTTTTTAAAGAAAAACAGGAATTTGTCCAAGATGTTAAGTAGAAAAACACCAGTGGCAGCACTCTGTGTGCAGTGGGGTTATATTTCTACAAATACTTTAGAGGAAAACTTGAAGAACCTACATCACGTTTTGTTTTGTGTTTTTCTTTCACAGAGCTGTGTTCTGGGTTGAGGATTCAGTAGGGGGAGATTTTTCATTTTCTCACACATTTTTGTGAAGTTTGGAATGTTTGCATTACAGACTTGTTTTTGTAACCAGAACAAAACAAAAAATGATGAAAGGAAACCAAGGCCTGGGGGCTGTCACTCAGGATGGAGCTGGCCTAGGGAGCACAAGGCTGGCGCTCCATCCCTGACACCACAAGAACCAAACAAAGAAAATCCTAGACAGGAAGCATGCGTTCCAGGCATCTTGTCCACACTTGGACAACTTGGATCTAAGCAAATCCACATTGATTTGCTTGCTTGCTAATCTGTAAAGTCCATGTCTTCCAGGATGCAGAATTTGGAGAAAGTAAGAATTTTAGGTTTTGTGGATCAACATGCAAAAGTCAAATTTACTCTATAGGTGTTTATATGAAAAAATAGAAAGCCAATTTCTTTTTAAAAATTCTTTTATAATTTTTTGAGATTGATTACATAAATTTCACAGTATTGTGAGATAGTGATACTTAAAATCACAAACACATTTTAACCTTCAGAAAACAAGTTTCTATACTTTTGATTAATGCATTAATAAAGTCATTGACTATATATATGTATATTTATTTATACTTATAGTGATGCAGATCTATTACTGAGAAAAATATAATTCCTTGAGAGAAATTTTTGCCTAATTGCAGTTGAGAATTTTCTTTTCTTCTTCTCTTCTTCCTCCTCCTTCTTCTCTTCTTCTCTTGTCAGTCCTGGGTCTTGAACTCAGGGCCTGGGTATTGTCCCTGAGCTGCTTTTGCTCAAGGCTAGTACTCTACCACTTGAGACACAGAGCCGCGTCTAGCTTTTTATTTATGTGGTACTGAGGAATTGAACCTAGGGTTTCATATGTGCTAGGCAAGCACTCAACCACTAAGCCATATTCCCAGCCCAGTGAAGAGAATTTTCTACCAATAAAATCAGTGGCAAATATTTGACTTAAAAAAAGAAAAAAAGGCCAGGAGCTGGTGGCTCACACCTGTAATCCTAGCTACTCAGGAGGTTGAGATCTGAGGATCATGATTCAAAGCCAGCTCAGGTAAGAAAGTTCATGAGACTCATCTCCAATTAACCACCAGAAAACTGGAAGTAGCACTGTGGCTCAAGTGGTAGAGTGCTCGCCTTGAGCTGAAGAGCTGAGGGACAGCACCCAGGCCCAGAGTTTAAGCCTCACGACCCACAAAACAACAAAAAACTCAACAAACCTTAAAAAGGTAAAAACTAGGACTGGGTATGTAGCTCAGTAGTAGAGTGCTTACCTAGTAATGGCAGTGCCTTGAATGAATGAGTGGGTGAATGAATGAATGTAAAAACTAGCTAGGTATGGTGATACTCGCTTTTCATAAGTTCCAGCATTCAGGAGGCTGAAGTGGGATGATCATCTGAGCCTAGAAGTTCAAGACCAGCCTGGACAATACAGTGAGGCCCTGTTTGTAACCATGTAATAACTTTGTATGAAAATACTATTCCAAATGGGCATCAGTGGCTCGTGCCTGTAATCCCAGCGACTCAAAAGGCTGAGATCTGAGGATTGCAGTTTAAAGCCAGCCCAGGCAGACAAATCTGTGAGACTCTTAGCAAAAAATCTAGAAGAGGACCTGTGGCTCACGAGCACCTGCCTTGAATGAAAAAGCCAAGTAAGAGTGCAAGGTGCTGAGCTCCAGCTCCAGGTGTGGCACAGTAACCACTGTCTTCTCTTGGGTCTACAGTCAGGTTGCTGTCAGCTGATGGATTATTTCCACAGGGGTCAGGGGTGGCTGGCCCTATTGATTTTCCTTGGGTAAGAGGCACTGCCAGGCCCTCTGGAGGGAAGAGAGATGACCCACCAGGTATTGATGGGGCCTGTGCTTTCCCATAGCTGCTCTTCTTCATGTGGGGTTCCTACTCCACAGCCCAGGTCCAGTCTTCTCCTTGGAGGACTGAGCAGAAGGAACCTTCAAGACATCGAAGCAGTCATGCAGTCTCCCTGCTCTCTCAGTATCCTGAGACAGCTCAGAGGCCAGGCAAAGCTGCAAGAGCAGCTGGCACCCAGTTCTCAGCCTGGTGGGCTGTGCAGTTTTAAGGGCTCCCCAAGCACTCTTCAGCTCACTTCAGAGGCTCCTGGAAATGCATCCTGGGCAGGCATGCTGCTGGGACACAAGTGGACCCGTAGTCCTGTGGGAGAGCTGAACCCCAGTCGCTGAAGGAGCCCTAGCCAGCTGGAGCTCCTCAAGACGCCACCCGCATAAGGGACGCTGTGTCTCAGGTGTCCCCGCTTGCTTGGATGGCCTCTTAGGGATACTGTGAGGGCTAATGAAAGACTAATGCAAACCAGAGACAGTCCCTGGCACAGGGTGTGAACATTTAATCAATGTTTATTATTAGTAACCAATAGAGCAATGAAGGAGCCAGGCGCCGAAGGCTCATGCCTGTAATTCTAGCTTCTCAGGAGGCTGAAATCTGAGGATTTGAAGCTAGTGGTTTGAAGCTAGACTGGGCAGGAAAGCCTGTGAAACTTATCTCCAATTAACCAGCAAAAAGCTGAAAGTAGACCTGTGGCTCAAGTAGTAGAATGCCAGCCTTGAGCTTTAACAAAAATTCAGGGACAAGGACCAAGCTCTCCTGAGTTCAAGCTCCAGAACTTGTAATGATGCGCACATCTGCACACATGAACAATGAAGGGTCTTCACAAGAAATTTGAGGAAAAACTAGGGCAAAAGTAAAGCCTGTGATAGTCACTCCCCACCCCTCTCCTTTCTATTGGTCCTGGGGCTTGAACTCAGGGCCTGGGCAGTGCCCTTGAGCTTTTTACTCAAGGTTAGCCCACTACCACTCTGAGCCACTTCAGGTTTTCTAGTGGTTAAATGGAGATATGAGTCTCACAGATTTTCCTGCCCAGGCTGGCCCTGAAGCACAATCCTCGGCTCTCAGCCTCCTGTATAGCTAGGATTACAGGCATGAGCTACTAGCACCCAGCTATTTTTTTGTGCTGATACTGGAGCTTGAACTCAGGTCCTCCTGTTCTTCCTCTTGCTTAGCTTTTTTGCTCAAGACAGTCTGCTATTCTACCTCTTCAGTCACAGTTCTACTTTTAGCTTTTTGGTGGTTAACTGGAGATGAGTTTCACAGACTTTCCTGCTTAGGCTGGCTCTGAACTATGATCCTAAGATCTCAGTGTCCTGAACAGCTAGGATTACAGGTGTGAGCCACTAACATGAAGCTCCCTCCCCTCCTTTGAATCTCTGGTGAAATCTGCAATTGTTGTTGGAATCTGCCAGTCAATCCTCACCCCAACCCTCGGGGGAGGGGCCAGGAAACACCTTGTTCCTTTCCTTGTGGCCTAGGAAGCCAAAGATTGCATATTTTAGTACAAAGTGGTTTATTTCTCTTCTGGGTGAAGGAGTACAGGTAGCAGGCTGAGGTTTTCCTCCCTGGCTCCTATAGGAACTCCCCCCACCACAGAATTTTAGTTTAGTTTACATGCATTAAAAACAACTAAGTTGCTGATAATCAAATGCTAGAAGCAATACCCTGAGGTCACAGAGCTTGTGGATCTGCATGTGTCATGGACTTGCACAGGTGTGTTCAGTTCAGGTATTCACAGTTAATGTAGCTGACACAAAGTGAGTCCAGCTGCCCTGTGGCCCCATTCTGTGGCGATGGCTCGGCTGGGGGCGGAGGGCCACTCTACTGTGGGGGTTGTCACAGTAAGTGGATCTTCTCAAGTGGGGAACAGGGATCTTTGCCCTTGCTCCCAGCAATTCCATTATGGTATGTCAGTATGCATGGCTTCAGTATCGTGCCCTGAAGGTTGGCAGGAGGCCGGAAGCACCATAGACCCTAATCTGGCCCCTCAGTGGGGCAGAATGGCTGGGAGAGAGATTATTTCCTGTTGGTCAAAAAGCGACTTTGCAGCCTGGCAGGTCAGGGGCCTGGGACACTAGTTTGGAGCAAGATGGATGGTGGAAGAGGCAGGAAAACTCTAGTCCTCACAAGAAGAACTATCATACCACGGTGCTAAAACCTTGGATGGCAAATTTGCTTGAAGACAAAAAAGAAGGGTCAGTTGTTGTGGGCATTCTGTTCCCCAAGAATAGGAGATTCCACTTAGCCGTAATTACCTGTTGCTTTTTGTCGTGGGGGTTTGTACTCAGTGTTTCACACTTGCTAGGCAGGAGCTCTACCACTTGAACCATGTCCCCCAGACTCTTTCCTCTTACTAGGTCTCCCATGGCTTTCAGCAGCAGTAGACAACAGGACGTCTTACTGATTTTTATTTTATTTAAAAATCTATGTTTCCATGCCTCAATAAAGACCAGTAAAGAACTGGCTGGTAATCAGGTCCCAGTGGCTCAAGCCTATAATCCTAGCTACTCATGAGACGGAGACCTAAGGATCATGGTTCAAAGCCAGCCTGGCCAGACAAGTCTGAGAAACTCATCTCCAATTAACCACCAAAAAGGTAGAAGTAGAGGTATGGCTTCAGTGGTAGAACACCAGCCTTGACAAGTAAAAAAGTCAAGCAAGAACCAAAGGCTGTGAGTTCAAGCCTCAGTATCAGCACACACACGCACGCGCACGCACACACACACACACACACGTACACACACACACACACACGGAAACTGGCTGAGAATAGCAAATTCTGCAAAGCTGTGGTATAAAAGCCAGATGTGAGAAGCAAGCCCTATATCTACTCTCAGAAAATGGATGTATTTATTATGAGTCGCCATCCTTTGGAGCATCGACGTGTTAAAAACACTGGGAAAGAGCATTAAGTGCTTTGCAAAGAGTCTGCTCATACCTGAGACCAGTCCTAAGTGACACCGGCTTCCAGCATCCTTTCAGGAATGGAGGTGAACAGCCGAGGTTAGAGATGGTAGAGCACAGGAGAATGCCTCTGGATGGCTGGCGAGCAATGGTGCGTGGCCAGCCCCCAGCCACCTAAGGATACAGTAATCCTGATGCTGGCCCTCTGGGCCACAAGCCCGAGATTCATATTCCATCATGCTCTGGACTCATCAGGATGCCACTTCTACACTCCTACCTCCCGACCAGCCCTCCGCTGTTTCCTGCTGGGAAACGGAGACCGAGGTGCCAGGAAAGTGGCTGCCTGAGCTGAATGAAGGTCCATCCTGGTGTCTGAGTGCTCAGGGTGGTGGTGGCTGTGTCTGAGGTGACCCCTTCCTCCTGCCCCTCCCCATCTGGGTGGATCTGACATAGGGGTGACTGACGAGCACAGCTGGCTCAGGGCCTTTAGCCAGGCCCTAACTGTTCTGGGATGAGGGAGCGGGGCAGGAGGGAGGCCAGGCGCATCAGGAGCTTTGGTCAGGGGTCCCCAAAGCACCTCTGTGGCCCCAGGAACCTGTCAGTGTAAACGTGCCTTTGGTTTCCAGTAAAGAAATGCAGCTTATGTTTGCATTCATTAAAAACCAAACCGGAAGGAGGAGGCAGAGACCGGCCCCCAAGAAGTCCCAAAAGTCCACTAGGATGGAAATTCGTAGTGTCTCAGGTGCTCATCGGCCACGGACATGTAGGTGGGCCTCATGCTGGGGGAGTACTGCGGGAGAGAGGGGAGGCAGTCAGGCTAGCACACCTGGGTAGCAGGGAAAGCAGACATGGGATGGCCCACCCACCCTCTGTAGCCACGCTCCACAGCCATGGAGTCAACCAACCACAAATACAAGATTTAAAAGATGCATCCGGCCAGGGTGGTGGCTCCTAGCTACCTGGGAGGCTGAGATCTGAGGATCATGGTTCAAAGCCAGCTCAGGCAGGAAAGTCTATGAGACTCTTATCTCTAATGAGCCAGCCAAAAGATGGACACGGTAGTGTGGTTCAAGTGGCAGAGCATCAGCCTTGAGTGAAAAAGCTAAGGGACAGCACTCAGGTCTTGAGTTCAAGCCCAAGTACTGGCACAAAAAAAGGAAAAAAAGAATCTCCTTAACTTACCCTAGTACAAAGAGGAAAAAAAAAAGTGATTCTTCTCTGCTTGGAGTATTTTCTTTGAAAAATGACTAAATGATTTCTCTATCCTTGTTGTTGGTGGTGGTGGTTGTGGGGCCTGAACTCTGGGCCTGGTCGCTGTACCTCAGCTCTTCAGCTCAAGGCGAGCACTCTACCACTTGAGCCACAGCGCCACTTCTGGTTTTCTGGTGGTTTATTGGCGATAGGAGTCTCACGGTCTTTCCTGCCTGGGCTGGCTTTGAACTGAGATCCTCAGATCTCAGCCTCCTGAGTAGCTAGGATGACAGGCGTGAGCCACCAGTGCCCGGCTTTCTCTGTCCTTTTGAGAAGTATTTAACCTTTCATTGCTAGGGCTCATGCCAGTAATCCCAGCTAAATCAGGATGTTGAGATCTGGAGGATCATAGTGTGAGGCTAGCCTGAGCAGAAAAGTCTATAAGACTCTATCTCTAAAATAGCCAGCACAGGGGCTGGGAAGGTGGCTCAGTGGTAGAGTGCTTGCCTTGCATGCATGAGGCCCTGGGTTTGATTCCTCAGCACCACATAAGCAAAAAGAAAAAAGCCGGAAGTAGCACTGTGGCTCAAGTGGTAGAGCGCTAGCCTTGAGCTGAAGAGCTGAGGGACAGCGCCCAGGCCCAGAGTTCAGGCCCCATACCAGACCCCCCCCCAAAAAAAACAAATAAAATAAAATAGCCAGCACAAAATTAGGCTGGAGGTACAATTCAAGTGGTAGAACACCAGACAAGCAAGCTGAGCGAGCCCGACCTTTGTGTTCACATCTTGGTGAGGCTAATGGCTCTCATCAGTCCTGCCCAGGGGAAGGTGACCATCCAGGGCAGTACCCTTTCCTTCCGGCCTCCAATTGTTACAGAGATAAAAGAAACTTAATTTTTCCTTTTGGTAAAGGCAATTACCTTCGAAGGCCGGCCACCTTAATTACCAGGCAGATTGGGGATGAGCCAATGTGACAGTGCTGCGGGCCCTCTTGCCTGAAGCTGGGCATCATTTATCTTGAGACAAGCTATGCAATTGCTTCTGGTATTCAATGTCTGCGACCCAGGGCTTAGCACTTAGCTGATAAGGAAACGATTTGCTTTTCTTTTTTCTTCTGCCTTTACTGGGTGGGCAGGTTTTGTCTGACACATCTCCCCCCTCCCCCCCACCCCACACACACAGTGAGAGCAGAGAGGGACTGACAGGGAGGACCACTTACGGTGGGTGGAGGAGAGCCTCTCCCAATGAGTGGAAGGTTCTCGTAGCGTGGGTTCCCACCGAAGAGCATGGCCTGGTTCCTGCGGGGGAGAGGGGCTGCTCAGTAGGGGGCAGGCAGCCTATAGGGAGTGTGTGTGTGTGTGTGTGTGTGTGTGTGTGTGTGCGTGCACACAGATCACAGATTTCCACAGGAGGGTCTCATGGGTGTGGAGAGTGGAAATGGGTAAAGCACTGGCTGTTCAGAGGCTGACATCTCAGAGGTGATGTTCAAAGCCAGTCCCATGCAGAAAAGTTGGTGAGACTCTTATCTCCTATTAACCAGCAAAAAGCCAGAAGTGAAGTGGCTCAAGTGGTAGATCACCAACCTTGAGTGAAGAAGCCACGTGAGAGGGTGAGGCTCTGACTTCAAGTCCCAATACCAGCACCAATAAATAAATAAAAATAAATAAAATAGGGGAAAAGTGGGCAAGAAAATAAGAAGGAAGGCCAGGCATGGTGGCTCACACCTATTATCCTAATTAGTCAGGAGTCTGAGATATGAGGATCATGGTTTAAAGACAGCCCAGGCAGGAAAGTCCATGAGACCCTGATCTTCAAGTAACCAGCAGAAAAACAGAAGTGGCGCTGTGGCTCAAGTGGTAGAGTGCTTGCCTTGAGCTGAAGAGCTGAGGGACAGTGCCCAGGCCCAGAGTTCGAGCCCCATGACTGACAAAAAAAAAAGAAAAGAAAAGAAAAGAAAATAGAGATCCTTGGTGGAGGTGGGGGCAGGGAACAGTTGCTGGGAGCAGAATAGCCTGGAGAAACCTGAGACATTACACACACACACACACACACACACACACACACACACACACACACACACATCCAGGGGGTGCCATATAGGCTGAGGCTGGACACATGGGTGTGGAGGATGTCTAATACTTTCAGTAGCATTGGCCTGGCTGGATTCGAGGAACCCGGGACCCTGCTTCCCCCCAAGGCTGGTAGCCTTGATGTGGGGAGCCACGGGTACGCACATGTACTCGGAGACCGGGGCATTGGAGATGGTCTGGGCAGGCGGATGCAGGCTGCTCTGACTGCCCAGGCCACTGCTGTAGCTGCAGAAGCTGTGGAGCTGTCCCCGCGGGGGATTGTGGGCCGCGATGCGCCGTGCTTGGGGATTAAAGGGGTCATCATCATCCATGTCGTCGTAGGCTCTGTCCCTAGAATGACACAAAGAATTTGGCCAGCTGTGAAAGGCACGGGTGGCTGGTGGATGCTACGTCCTGTACTGCTTTCTGAATTTTCTTCCTAGCATGCTTGCTCACTCTGGCCCCATGCATCAAGTTGAGAGTCCTCAAAAGCATGTTCTAGCCAGCTAGGTGTCCATGGCTCACAGCTGTAGTCCTAGCTACTCAGGAGGCTGAGATCTGAGGACCATGTTCAAACACAGCCCTAGCAGGAAAATCCACGGGACTCTTATCCCCAATTAACCACCAAAAAGCTGGTAGTAGAAGTGCGGTTCAGGGCTGGGAAGGTGGCTCAGTGGTAGAGCGCTTGCCTTGCATGCATGAGGCCCTGGGTTCGATTCCTCAGCACCACATAAGCAAAAAGAAAAAAGCTGGAAGTGGCTCTGTGGCTCAAGTGGTAGAGCGCTAGCCTTGAGCTGAAGAGCTGAGGGACAGCGCCCAGGCCCAGAGTTCAGGCCCCATGACCGGACCCAAAAAAAAAAAAAAAAAACAAGTGCGGTTCAAATGGCAGAGTGCCAGCCTTGAAAGAAAAAGCTAAGGAACAATACCAGACCCTGAGTTTAAGTCCTATTACTGGCACCAAAAATAAAGAAGAAGAAAAAAAAAGCAATCTGCAGCCTTGTACTCATACCTATCACTCTGCTCCCAACTCCACCTCCGACTCTTCTATGCAGTCCACCATGATGACTGTGCACACACGCGTGCATGCATGCGTGTGTGTGTGTGTGTGTGTGCGATCTCTCCCCTGTGAGATATAGGTCCCCTCTTTGTTTTTCCTGGAGCAGTCCCCTCCTCACCACTTCTCATTGTCAGGTCTTGTCAAGGAAAAGAGGAAAAGCATCATGCCGGCTGGGGCATGAGGGCCGTTGCTATCTTTGGCTTTGCTGCTGCCCTGGGTCCCCCAGGGGACCTGTCTTGACTCTCATAGAGACGTCTCTAGGATTTCAGCCGACCTGCTGTGGCTGACCCCTAGCCCTTGGCTGCCCAAACCGCCACCCCCCCACCATGAGCAGCTCTTCCTCCAGCCCTTCCTACCGAGCGGCAAAGTGCTTCCAGGCCCTCGGCCCTGCACAGATGAGGGTGGAGAAGGCCAGGGCAGCCAGCATGGAGAAGAGGCCAAGGAAGAGCAGGCCCTCGATGCCGTCGTAGCAGACCCCGGTCAGGGCGTCCAGGTAGTCCTGCAGGAGGGGCAGGGGAGAGAGGAGAGGGAGTCAATGCCTAGGGTCCGAGCTCTTCTCTCAAGCCCCTCTCCTCCAGACCTGCCTGCTCTCCAACCCAAAGCTCCTTTCAACACCATTCATGGTCCCTGCTCTGGAGCCTCAGAACCATAGGGCTCCTTGTAACCACACAGTCTACAAATGTTTGCTGAGCACTTAGGGTGTGCAGGGCGCTGAAAGGCTGGCTCTGAGGCAGACGATGAAGTTTCAGGGTATATGTGGGGGGGAGGGGTAAGGGGGTAGAGCCAGACCTAGGTGGTACAACCTGTGGCCAGGATGGCAAGGAGAAGCCAGTCCTGCATGGAGGAGGCGGAAGGCCACACTGCACATGCTCAAAAATGAGGAAGAATGCCAGCGGAGAAGCCATTTACCATAGCGAGGAAAGAGCCCTGGCTTTAGGAGAGGAAGGGCTAGGAACTATGTCGTCTGTTCATACCAGGGCCACTTGGGTCTCCGCTGTGAAAGGCCTTGAGGGGGGAAGGGATGAGAGGAAGTGCAGGGCATCCTGTCTCCCAGGGTAACAGTAGGAGGCACGGCTGTCACCCAGGAAGTGGTGGTGAGATGGACAGAGTTGGGTTCATCTGAGTAGACAGCTGCTACAACTTGTCAGGGGAGAAGGGACATGTTCTCAGCTCTGAAGTGCCACGGCCAGAATCCAAAGCCCAAGGCCCAGCTGGGTGCCTGTGGCTCACGCCTGCCATCCCAGCTGCTCAGAAGGCTGAGATCTGAGGACCACAGTTCTAAGCCAGCCCAAGCAGTTAAGTCTGTGAGACTCTCATCTCCAATAAACCACAAAAAGCTGGAAGTGGAGCTGTGTCTCAAGTGTAGAGCACTAGCTTTGAGCAAAGCAGATCAGGGACAGCACCCAGGCCGAGTTCAAGTCCGAGTACCAGTGTACATGTGTGTGCACACCCACACTCACACACACACACCATCACCACTACCACCAACAAAAACCAAACACAAGTCCCTGACTTAGCATTTCTGGAAACCTTCAATGAACTAAATCTTCCTAGCTGTATCCACACACCCACACACACACACACACTCTCTCTCTCTCTCTTAAAGCATTCATCCATCCTGAACACATTTATAATTTCTTTATCTATAAAACTTCCCATGAAATAATGACTTCACCATTTAACTGTGAGGACCAAATGACAAATGGATGTAAGTTACACCACACAGCACTGAGCACTTCCGAATCATGGTCATGATCATTATCATGACTATTGGCCCTAAATCCATATGGGAGGTGGGAGATGTTGAGATCACTGTTTGGCAGGGACGGCTCATATTCTCACTGTGTGTTCCCTGCAGTCTCATATGTACTCTCAGAGTCCCATGGCTTCTGTCCCCTGAGTTCTGGGATTACAGGCATGAACTACCGCACTCAGCTTATTGCACGTATCTGATACTCTGGAAAGATGACCTTGGCAATGAGACTGTTATTGACTGGGAACCCAGGGCAATGGAAGGATGGACCAGATGGCCAAGAGTTCCCCAATGAGCCCTGCCATCTCCTCCCAATAATCTACTGTCCAACTTCAACCTCATTCTTGGACAATAAAGGAGCACAGAGGACTCCTCTCCTGTCTCTGCTGTCTTGTCTGGGAAAGGCCAGGCCCTAGGCCCCCCCATGGTCACCCCGGCACCTTGTGCAGGCCTCGGCAGTCCAGCATGGCCATGAGCTGGTGAAGGCTGGTCTCAGATGAGTTCAGGAGGAGCTGGATCCCAAGGAGATCCATCTGAAGTGGGAAGAGGGAGAGAGGTAGAGAATGAGCCATGGGAGAGGGCTGTTGGGGTCCATCAGGGGCTCAGGAAGGGGGGCATCTTACCTCTGCCGTGGGGAAGAGGGGCAGGGCGAACTGCAGCAGTCCTGTGATCTGGATCTGCATGGCGCTCAGTGAGCGCTGGAAGATGGTCAGTGTCTGGGTGGGGAGACCACAGCACTGTGAGGCGCTGTTACTCAGGAGCATCTATGGCTACACCGCCCCCTTCCCCCGATACAAATGCACAGGATGAGGGGGGGAGGGGAGGTTGAACTTTCCAGAAGGGGCTGCTCACCCTGAATGCAGGGGGCATGGAAAGGAGTTAATTCTAGAACATGGGAGGACCTTGACCTACAGGGAGGGGGCTGGTCCCTTGCCATCGACTCCAGCCATCTGGTCAATGTGAATACTACGGTTACGATTACAGTCCTTCCATAGTGTCTGACCATCCTTCTGCCTTCTAGAGAGCTACATGGCCCTTTCTGAACATTTATTTTTATTTATTTTTGCGCGTGTCCTGGTCCTGGGCCTTGAACTCAGGGCCTGGGCCCTATCCTTTAGCTTTTTTCACTGAAGGTTGGTACTCTACCACTTAAGCCACAGCTCCACTTCCAGACTTTTGCAAGTTAATTAGAGATAAGAGTCTCATAGACTTTTCTGCTAGGGCTGGCTTCAAACCAGGATCCTTTGATCTCAGCCTCTTTGAGTAGCTAGGATTACAGGTGTGAGTCACTGGCACCTGACTACCTTGTCCTTTATTTGAGACAAGGGCATGCTATGTGGCCCGGACTGGCCTGGAACTTGAGATCCTCCCACCTTAGCTTCACAGGTACTGAGATTACAGGCATGCACTACCACGCCTGGTAATCTTTTGCTTCCCATTACTTAGATGTGGTCCTGGGAGCACACAGCATGGGCTTTGCTGGGGAACTAAGGAGCAATGTCAAACCTTGGGCCCCGCCCCCACTTAGCCCACCATCAGAGGTGTCAACGAACATTTGAGAAACACTGACCAAGCGCACAGTGAAACAAGGCCCCATCAGCTACCTTTCTGGTCAGTGGTGGGGCTTGAGGGGTGAGCTGCCAGAGGGGCCAGGGAGAGGATGAGGGTGTGTCTGGGCTTGCGTACCTGCTGGAAGGGGCTGCTGACGCTCTGACCACAGTGCAGGTAGTAGTTGATCACTTCTGCAAAGCAACAGCATGGACATCATTGCCATCAGACAACCCACAGAGCATGATGCCCTCTGCCGTCCTCAGTGCTCCACGCAGGCCGGTGTCCCCTCCCCAAGGAGCCATGGGAGGCGGGTTCTAGGAAATGGCTCAGAGGTTCTGCTAGGCCTTAAGTCTGGGGCAGGAGGCACTAGGGTGACCATTCAGGGCTGGGAGAGGGTAAGTGCAGGCTCAGATGGGCCGGCCACGCAGGCCTGGCCTGGGCATTAAGGGCAGCTGCTACTGAACAGGCGGGAGAGTGCTTTACCTGTGCCGATCTGGTCCTGCGTGGCGTTCAGAATGAAGGCGTCAGGAGCCATGCAGAAGTCGCTGGTGCTCTGAGTCACAGAGACAAGAAAGGGTGGAGGAGGGTGAGACAAGAGGGACTCGACCTCCTGGGTTCCAATCGTGGCTCTGCCTTTTCTGAGCTATAACCCTGGGCATATTATTTGTTTCTGTGCCTTAGTGGTCAAGTCTGTCTTGTGGACCTGTGTGCCAGGAGTAGGGCTTGAACTCAAGAACTCATGATTTGGGGCTGGGAAGGTGGCTCAGTGGTAGAGCGCTTGCCTTGTATGCCTGAGGCCCTGGGTTTGATTCCTCAGCACCACATAAGCAAAAAGAAAAAAGCCGGAAGTGGCGCTGTGGCTCAGGTGGTAAAGCGCTAGCCTTGAGCTGAAGAGCTGAGGGACAGAGCCCAGGCCCAGAGTTCAGGCCCCACGACTGGACACCCCCCCAAAAAAAAGAACTCATGATTTCATTTCTTTTTCTTATATATGGCTGGCACTCTCCTACCTGAGTCATGCCTCCAGTCTAGCTTTTTGCTGGCTAGTTAGAGGTGGGAGTCTTATGGATTTTTCTGTGCTGGCTTCAAACTTCAATCCTCCAGATCTCAGTTTCCTGAGTGGTTAGGCATGAGTCACTAGGGCCTTGACCATCAGAGTACTTTTAGGAATAATGTTCTAGAAGGTGACCATGTCAGAGAGCATGTTGACTATTGTTCTGATCCTCAAATGCATCTTCTGGGGTGCTGCTCAGGGGCTGTAGCACCTGAGTCTGGGGGTGACTCCAGGGCTGTGTGGGGCTCTCTGGAGCCCAGGTTCATACTCTTGTCCCTGACTTGGTCTTCTTGCTGTTAGCAAGCCCTGCCTGCTCAATCTATGGATCTGACACGTCTCCTACCCAGTGAGGCCACAGCTGAATCCATCTGGGGAGTATTTGGGCACAGGAAACACGTGGGGCTGAGTCACTGGGGGACATGGAGCGCCGCCTGGCTGTGTGAACACTCAGCTTTGTGTGGCTGCATGCAGCAGTCACAGGCCCTGGGAGTGGTGGCAGCAAGAACGCCCTCCTGAGCCAGACCCTCGGGGTTCAGTATGGAGTCCGGGGTGGAGGGGGGGTGGTTGGGGAGGGTGGGAGGGGAAAGAGACTGCAAGAGCAGCCCTTTAGTGTGTCCTGAGGGACCACCATCTCCAGGCAGGGGTCCTGCAGATAGCCCTGTGCTCCAGGGACTCTGTCCTCCAGGGACACCACCTAGGGGTTCGGACTGCAGCATGGCCCCCCTCACTCACTGAGCTGCAGCTTTTAGGAGGAGCAGGGGGGGAACTGTGCCCTGGTACCTAGTCCTGAAAATGTAAAGGGGGGATTGGGGAATACCAGGCCCTCTGGATATACACCCTCACCCCTATCTGTCTCTCCCTTTCCCCTGCCCCCTCTCTCCTTCTCAGTTATCAACATGAGCTCAGGACTCTGGGAGTCATACTTTATGTACAAACCACAACATACATAATAAATCAGCTGGCTTATCCTTACCAGTCTGAACTACGACCCTGTTAGGCTTGATGGAGTGGTGGAGAAGAGGGCAGCCATAGACCTGGGAGGGGGAAGTGGGGAGGCCTTGTGGAACACCTTGAGGGGGTGGGTCAAGAAGTCTGGCATTCAAAGAAAGAGAGTGCCAGGTGCTGGTGGCTCATGCCTGTAATCCTAGCTACTTGGGAAGCTGAGGTCTGAGGATCTTAGTTCAAAGCCAGCCTAGGCAAGGAAGTCTGTGAGATGTTTATCTCCAGTTAACTAGGAAAAAGCCCGAAGTGGCACTGTGGCTCAAGTGGTAGAACGCTAGCCTTGAGCAAAAAAGTTCAGGGATAGCACCCAGGTCCTGCGTTCAAACCCCAGGACTGGCATGAGAGAGAGACAGAGAGAGAGTGAGTTGGATCTATTTCCCTCCTTTTGTACGCATGTGTGAATGCGTGTTCACCGTGACATTCCGATACAGGCACACAGTGAGGTGCTAAATCTACAGATGAAGACAGTCCTGCACGTATGCACACGTGTATCGTGTGTATGCACATGTACACTAGTCATGTGACTTGCAGAGAGAGGAAGGGGGGACTGAGGAAGGGGTGCCTAGTATAGGGTGGGTAGGAAAAGCTGCCCAGAACCCAGCCTGACTGATGTGCAAGCATTTCCCGAGAGCAGAGGTGACCGCCTGAAGCAGAGCCCCGTCCCCCCACCAGGCCCATGATCCCGACTTGTGAGTCAGTATGTAGAAAGCCAAGATGGCTACGGAGTATGGAACCCTCACTGTGAGTTTCCCTTAACACCACTCAATCCACATTCCCTCTCCACAGCCCTGCGAGGCACAGAGACTTCAGTAGCATCCCTGAGGCTCTACTGCTAGGCAGAGGTGAGGGTGGACACTCTGGACCACTGAGGGTGGGGGACAATTGGGGCCAAAGGTCTGGCTCCCCAGCTCCTATCGGGCCTTCCTGGGGTGATGGCGTGTCCTCTAGAGGCCCTTCTGGAGGGACGGGCGGGGGAAGGGTTAGTCTTGCCCTATTGATCTCAAAACAGGCCTGGGAGAACAGGGTGGCAGCTGAGGCCACACAAAAGCTCTGTACAATGACCCCTTGACAGGCCACCTCCCCTCCCCCTCGCTCTTCCTGGCCCCTCTTCCTATTAGAATGCAGCAGCACCCTGGCCCTATCAAAGGCCCATTCAGCAGGGCCTCATACCCCCCTTCTCCTGCACAAGGGCCTGACTAAAGGAATTAGGAAAATGGCACCGCTCCCAGCTCCTGGCATTCCAGGGCACCCGGCTGCAGAGGGAATCGCCTGTGGTTTCCCTGGCCGGGAAGCCTGGTGGAAGATGAGCCCCCTGGCCCAGAGTGGGTGGACCTCAAGGGGCAGCGGATGGCCACAAGCTGGAAGCTCCCCCTGCTTCTGGAAGGCAGAGGCTGCCCAGAAGCAGCACATACCCCAGGAGCACTCACCACAGGAAGTCCCTTATGCTGGGGCTTGTCCTAGGAGAGGCCGCTGGCCAGCCACAGCCGGGCTGGTCACCCTCCCGCTCCTGTTTACAGCTCTCTCCAGCTCTGAGGGCCATCAGGACACTGTGAACATGACTGGGGTGCCAGTTCCCCCAAGATGTGGGGTGGGGGATGGGAGAGAGCCACCTCTTTTTCCTTCTGGACAAACCAACCTCCTGCCCAAAGGGGGCAGAGCCAAGCAGTGCCAGGGGCCATTCATTCCATGGGCACTGTAGAGGCAAAATGCCCAAGGCTAGAGCTCCTGGTCAGGCCTGGGGGCACTGGGGAAGGCATGAGTTTGGGAAGAGGTTTCCAGCATGACTCCATGTTCCCCTCGCACCCCTCCCCCGCATCCTTTCAGCCTTAAACTGGCTAGGCAGAATGGATGCAGACTCAGCGTTTGTTTTGTGGTCCTCAAATCAGGTTAGGGTTCCTTGAAATCCACGAGCAAAATGTGCTCCTTACTAGTGTGTGTGTGTGTGTGTGTGTGTGCGCGCGCGCGCGCATGCCAATCATTGGGGCTTGAACTCAGGGCCTTATGCTCTCTCTTGGCTTTTTCACTCAAGGGTAGAGCTCTACCACTTGAGCCACACTGCTATTTTTGGGTTTCTTTTTTCTTTTTTGCTGGTTAACTGGAGCTAAGAGTCTCACAGATTTTCTGTCTGGGCTGGCTTTGAACTGTGATCCTCAGATCTCAGCCTCCTGAGTAGCTAGGATGATGGGTGTGAGTCACGGGTGTGTGATGCAACTAAGCCTCTAAACAGTGGATAGCATTATGTATGTCCTGTGGTTTGTGCCCTCAGTACATGACCCTGCTGAGTGGCCCACAGCAAAGCTGTCTGCTGAGTGGACACTCATGAGCAGACAGACTCTTGCATGTGGCTGACAACCCCTGTTGTATCTAGTGTCTACTAAAGACCAAATACTCCCATATAAGAAGGCTCTATTTTTGAGGGGCGGGGGGGGGCAGTGCAGTACCAGGGTTTGAACTCAAGGCCTTACCCTTGCTAGACAGGCGCTTGATCACTTCGGCTATAACTCCAGCTCCTTTTTTATTTTCATTATCTTTCAAATAGCACCTTGTACCTGTCACTCATATCTGTAATCCTAGCTACTCAGGAAGCTGAAATCTGAGGATTGTGGTTCACAGCCAGGCCAGGCAGGGAAGTCTGGGAGACTTTAACTACCAGAAAACCAGAAGTGGAGCTGTGGCTCAAAGTGGTAGAGTGCTAGCCTTGAGCAAAAGAGCTCAGGGACAGCGCCCACACCCTGAGTTCATTGCTGAGGATAGCCTCGATTGCGATCCTCCTATTTATGTCTCCCATATAGCTGGGGCGAGAGGTATGCACCTCTTTTGTCCCCAACTTATTGGTTAGAATGGAGACTGGTGAACTTTGGCCTTAGACTGGCTTTGAACCATGATCCTCCTGATTCCTGCCTCCTGAAAAGTTAGGTTAATAGGTGAGAGCCACTATGGCCAGTGCTCCCACTTTTTTAATAAGATTTGAGCTACCTCATGCAGTAACACACACATTTTAGAGTGTGTGAATGTGAAGGCAATCCAATGGAAGGCAAGATAAATGCCCCCTCCACAGTCCTGGTGCTGGGAGCTACAGCAAAGGAAGGAGTTTCAGCATCCAGGGGGGCTCCTCCAGATGCAGCCTTTGGACCTGCCCCAGTGTACCCTGGTTAGCTGCTCACACCAGACCCTGCGTGCATCCACGCATGTGCATACAAGCAGTGGTGTCTTATCTTGGCTCTGCTCCGAATGGCAGCTCCCTTCTTGTCCCTGGGCTTGATCTCAGTCTGGAAGGTAAAGGGCCTGACCAAGGTGATCTGAGCTCCTCCACTTCTGAGATTCTGGGGCTCCTGGTGAGGGGCTGGGGCTGGAAGTTAGCCCAACTCGGGAGCACCAGACGGACCCTGTCCCCACTCACCACAGCAGCAGCAGTGTCGGCGGCCAGGGAAGCCCAGCTGAGGAGCAGTGTCAGCACCCCGCAGCACAGCGTCCTAAGAAAGAGGGGTCCCCACAACATAGACTGTCTTCCATGATGGTAGCCAACCCACCCACTTCCTATTACACCCCCTCCCACCCTGCGGGCACAATGCTGCTCCCCTAAGGGCTGGAGAGACCCAGCAGAGAACCCCTGACTGCTGTCTCCCCATAGTGTGGTGCTGAGATGGTTAGTGACATCGCTCAGGCCTGGCTGGGCCTTTGCCTCCCTCTGGGGTGGCGCCTTGCTCAGCAATTTGCCCGAGCCTATGGGGCAGGGCTACTTACGAGGCCAGGAGACACCGGGAGCGCTTAGCCAGTCCCAGGCAGGTGACAAGGCAGATGACCAGGTCTAAGATGAAGAGCAGGAGGTAAGACAGCCACCTAGGTGGAGACAGAGGGACAATCACGGCAGGAGGCACCGACCTGCTTCTTCCTTGGAGCTGGAATGGCATCCCTACCAGGAATAGCCAGCACATGGGCTTCGGCGGGGGTGGGGGTGGGTGGGGGGGGTCTGGGGACTACACATCTGCCCGGACCAAGCTGTCTCCCCCACCTCTTCCCCAATCACCAGGCAGAAGTCTAAATCAGCATTATGAACTAGAACTTTCCACCAAGGCATAAAAACACTCTCCATCTGTGTTGTCCTGCTTTATCTGCCACTGCTCATAATGGCTACTGAGAACTGGAGACACGGCTTGAGCAAGGAGGAAATACATTTCTAAACCTTCTCAAATGTTTGTTGTTATAATGGGAATGTGGCTTAGTGGTAGAGTGCTTGCCTAGCATGCACGATTCGATTCCTTAGTAGCACATAAACAGAAAAAGCCAGAAGTGGCACTGTGGCTCAAGGGGTAGAGTGCAAGCCTTGAGTAAAAAGAGGCTCAGGGACAGTGCCCAGGGCCCAAGTTCAAGCCCTAGGAATGGCAGAAAAAAAGAAAGCAGAGAATTTTTTTTTTTAAATTATTTGTGGTGCTGAGAATCTAACCTATGGCCTTGCATATGCTAATAAGCAAGTATGATGACACTGAACTATACCTCCATCCACATCCTAATTGTTTTTGAGAGCTTACTTTGTTATTACAGAGGTGATATACAGAGGGGTTACATTTATATGTGTCAGGAAACGAGTACATTTCCTGACATGCAGCTTCATCTGTTCCTTTATTCCCTCCCAGTTCCTCCCTCCTGTCCCCACCCATGAATTCTATAGTTGACTTTTATCCATGTCCAGTGAGCTCCACTGATGTACTTTTTCCTTGGATTCTGTGCCTTCCCCTTGCCCCTCTCACAGATATGCATCATATATGAGGTAAAGAATAATCCTAAGAAAAAGAAAAAATAAATTTTAAAAAGTCTTTTGTTTCCATATGCTTGGAGCTCTTTTCAGTGTGTATATTACTTTACATAGAGGCGCTTAGGTGCTGCACCTTTGTGGTTCTCTCCTAAGACTACCCTCTTTTGGCCTCACTGTATATTTTTGGTTATCTAGAATCCTGTGTAATTTGTCTTATCCCAGTGTGCTTTAGATCTAACTTCTGCGTATCAGGGAGAGCTTGTGCCTATGGTCTCTGATCTTGGCTTATCTCCCGTAGTAACATGATTTGTTCTCGCTCCATCCACTTTCTTGCAAATGATCTCATTTTATTCTTTTTAGTGGCTGTGTGAAATTCCATTGTACATAGGTACCACATTTTTTGGATTCACTCTATTGTGGGGCACTGGTTTCCATATCTTGGCTCTTGTGAACAGTGAGGCAATGAACACCACATCCTAATTTTAACCAAATTCAAACAGCAGCATGTGGCTAGTGGCAACCTTGCAGGACTGTGACGGGATTCGGTAATCAATTTTCAACTTAATTGGATTTAGACACCTAGATTAGTGGGGCACCCCTCTGGGTGTCTCTGTGAGGTGGTTGCTCAAGAGGATTAAGAGGATGACCCACCCTGCATAGGGTTTAAAAGGGGAATAAAGGTGGGAGGAGGGGGGAGGAATGGGCATGCTCTATCCCTACTTCCTGCAGCCAGGATAAGGTCTCAGAAAGCCCTCGGAATGCCCATTTCCCTGATGACCACACAGCCTGGCCTCCCATTTGCTGTGTGGGATCTGTGATATGGAATGCTTAGGTGATATCTGTGCTCAGCATTGCACCTGGTGCCAGTGATGCCCATGTGAGAGAAGGTCCTGGCCATTGGGAGCTCAGGCAGGGCAGGGAGCCAGGATGGGGCATCTCAGGGCAACCTTTCACCTCAGGCATCCTAGCCCATCACTTCCCGCAGGGCTGAGCTAATAGGAGGCAGTCACATATCAGCTATAACACAGAAAACCAGCTAGCCTTTCCATTCGGTTTCTCTACCTGTAAAAGAAGCTAGAGTTCTTCTTGCAGGGCGGGGCAAGAATTAAGCATCTGCCAAATGCAAATGGGGACCAGGATGAAGCAGCCAGGGATGTGTGTGTGTGTGTGTGTGTGTGTGTGTGTTTGTGTGTGTGTGTCTGCCAGTACTAGGACTTGAACACAGGACCCTTGGCACTGTCCCTTAGCTTTTTCACTTGAGGCTGGCACTCTACCGCTTGAGCCACACCTCCACTTCTTTTCTGGTTGGTTATACGAGTTCCCTGCCTGAGTTGGCTTTGAACTGTAATCCTCAGATCTCAGCCTCCTAAGTAGCTGGGATTACAGGCCTGAGCCACCAGTGTCTGGCTCAGCCAGGGATTTTTTTTTTTTTTTTTT